GGCAGGGACCGGCCGCCCCGCGCGGAGCCGTCCCAGAGGGGCGAATCGCGCCTCTCCCGGGTCAGCCCCGGCCTTGGGCCGCGGGGGGCAGCGGAGGACGGGCGCTGAAGGAGCTGCCGTGCGAACGCTTCTCGCGGGTCGCTGACGCGCCTTCGCTTGGTGTGCGCGTTACTGTTCAGCGTCCTCTGACTGACTGACTGACTGACGGTGCAGATTGGGAGATCTAGCATAAATTTGGCCCCTCGGCAATTAAAAGCGAGCGCAGGAAAAGACTGAAAGGAATAAAGCGCCAGCAGCTAGAACTGCAAAAAAAAAAAAGGAAATCTGAAAAGGAAAAGGTCGGTCCAGAGCACGACCTAGTGGACTAATGGTCTTGCCTTTGCCTATGTTTTTCCCCGGTCATGGGGGGGGGGATAAAGAGACCAGCAGCAAGATCAGTCGATGCTGAAATCGTAGCAGCTGAGTCTGCCATCCTTCTGCCGTTGCACCTTTTCATTCGCGCGCCAGCCTCCTGTCGGTGGCATAAAGCCATGTTCCTCCAGCTGCCGAACTCCCGTGGGCTGTGCCAACCAGGTCTTGTTGGGGGGCAACCACAGGGGGATGAGGGGCTCCCGGCACTCCGGGGCTGCCTCTGCATGACTGACTAGCGGTGAACAGCTATTAGAAAGGCGGGCGGGTGAGCGGGAGGGAGGGAGGGAGGGAGACGGTTGCCGCGGGGACAGGGAGGGTGACGTCCATCGTCATTCCTTACGCATCTCTGGCCTGGCACCTTTGGCAGAAAAAGGGGCGTCTGGCCAAAGCAGTGGCAGTTTGGCTTTGGAACGGCAGTGGGCGAAGGACAGGGCCTTAATGTTCACCCCCCCCCGCCCCCAAAGGGACAGCAACACAGTGAACTGGAGCCGGTCAGCCTCTGGATCTCCTGGCCGCATCTGTTTCTTCTCCTGAGCATAGTCCTGGGAGGCCCACCGAGGCCCCTTCCCCGCTTTGCTGGCGCTCGGCTTTGTAAGGGCTCGGAGGAGCTGCGCGTGCTGCCTCGTCTTTGGGCTGCTAAGCCCAGATGGGCACGGCTGTGGCTAGCGAGTTAATGGGGGCAGAGCCAGTTGGCATCCTAAGGCCTGAGGCCTGGAGAGGCCCTCCAGGTGGTTCCCTGCGTGTTGCTGGATGGAGACCGACATCAGCGGCTTGCAGTGGAGCGTGTGAAGCCGCCTCCCTCGAGGCCAGGTAGCTCGACTTGGGCGGGAGCTTCAGCCGAGAGGGTCTCCTGCCCTTAACTGACAGGCTTTCGCCTCAGGAGCTGAAATGGGAAAAGGGAAGACCTGCAGCAGCAGCCCCACCCACAGGAGCCCCCAGTGGGCACCCCCCCGGAAGCCTATTTAGGAGGCCGTTTCGTCCCACAGCAGGTGAAGCTGGGCAATTGCCTAGGCGCCTCTTGTCTGCTTTGCCCCTCGAAGAGTTATTTAATAGCTACGCGGCTCAAAGCAGCATTCCCAGAGGAGCAGGGTGGGCTCCGGCCTCATCTGCTAGGCCGGCTTTCCTTACAGCCTCAACGAGAACAGAATCCAGTCTGTCAGCCGAGGCGTCCTGGAGGAATCTGGGTGAATCGGCGCCTTCCCGCAGAAGGGAGATGCAGAGGGTCTTTTCCTGCGGGTTGTCAGGGGTCAGTCCCACAGGTGTTGTGCAGCCATATCCTCGGGCGGCCGCTGGGCTGTCGGTCCTGTGGCCGGTTCTGCTGATGCAAATATGGACCCGTATCCGCAGCGCTATCTCCCTCGCTCCTGTTTCAGGCCATGACGGGTTTTTTGCCCTTTTGGATAAGGAAACGCTGTAGGGAACAGGAATTCCAGAGGTCCTACCTGCCACAAGCGTTTGTGAGGGCTCTGCGCAGAGCGGAGATGTCTGCTTTCCTCTCCTCTGCTGTGCACGAGAGCCGCAGAAGAGCGGTGGCGTGACCTTCCTGGCGTTCCCTCCACAGGGCGGCCATTTGCTGCACGTGGCAGCACTTGAGTTCCACCGCCACAGAAAACCACCGGATGGCTTTCTGCTCTGAGGACACGCGGATGCACATGCCGCTGTCTGGCTTCGAGGCGCTGCCCTCCGGTGGTGTCGCTTCTCTTGCGCTGTCTGCAGCCCAGAGGTGCTGCTGACAGGTGGGAGCAGAGCCTCGGCCCAGCAGCCGGATGCTGCAGACGGGCCCGGGAGAGCCTTTCCCGCTGCGCCGTCAGTGGTAATTCGTGCCCGTGCCGTTTGAGGGGCGCTTCGCTGCTCTTCTGCCCCAGGCGCCCTGCGATTCTCTCCGGAGCTGAGGGGGCACCTGCCTCAGTTGCCGCACCCTCTCGGGCACAGCCTGAAGCGTCTAAAGGCGCGGCTGGGATCCTGGGCTGGGAAACAGCCCTCCTTGATCCCCAGGCAAGGCGGAGTCCAGCTGGAAGGAGCAGCCCTTTGTCGCCTGCGCAGCACCTTCCGAGCACAGCGTCTGGTGGGGAGCCCCAGACAGGATTCTCAAAATCGCCCTGTCCCGAGCAGGCTGGAGGACGGTTCCCTGGTGGTCGTGCTCGTGCTGGCATTGCTTCAGAAAGCTGCTTTGCTCCAGGTCGGGGAGTTGTACGTTCCCTTTCTCCTCTGCTCAGGCAGGTCCTAGGCCAGCCGGTCTCCTTTTGCCTGGGGAGGCTGGGGGGGCTCGCTTTGGGGATTTGCCCCTTCCTCTTCTGCGGTTGACTGTTGCCTTTGATGACCAGGGCTTTGGAAAGTTGGCCTGGCTTCCTCTCACTCAACCCTGCCTGAGCTCATCCCTAACCCGGACAGCGTTAAGAGCTCCGTTTCTTAGCACGCCTTCTTGAAAACCGTTACTTCGCTTCTTTCTAAGAGCATGCATTTAGGACGAGCCCTAAAGTGACCCGAGTGGCCGCTTTTCTTCCAGAAAACCTGCCCTCTTTCTGAAACACACTTTACCGTTTGCGGCCCTCTCTCTCCGAATGTTTCTGTATGGTCCCAGCACGCCACCCCAACCCACTTGCCAGGGATTCCTGGGAACTGAAAGCATCTGTCCTTTCGGTCTGGAGCAGCTCCAGCTGCATGCGGAAGATCAAAATAGACATTGGAGCCAAACACAGTCACTATCCAGAAGAGGGAGGCCCAACCGTAAGATCCGTTGCTTAATTCAGCCCTGTGGCCGCTTCGCTGCCACTTCTCCCAAATCCTAAGCCCAGAAACCATCCCTGTGAACTGCTCGTATCCCATTCGCTTTAGTACACAATCCTGCTGCGCTTTTGAGACGTAGAGGCGGTTCCGTTACCCATACGGGAGCGAAAGCCGTATTCTCTGGGCCTCGGTTTTGCCCTGCTTTGGCAGAAGCTGGCGGTGCCTTTTCAGAAATAGGCGAGTTGCAAAGATGCAGTTTCGGCCTTGTACCCAGAAACGAAGGTAGGCAGAATTCTCTGAAATAATCCGGAACAGAGAGGCAATGGAAAGTTGTTTTTTTCAGCTCCTAGCTCCTGGAAGTCTGAAAGGAAGCCGTGCGTGGCTGCATTAATTATAGCCAGCAGAATGTTTTGGGGCTCTCCTCATCAAACCTGCTCTTCTCTCCAGCTGCAGAGCTATTTTGCGGCCTGTGAGGATGAGACTCCCGCCATCAGGAACCACGACACGGTCCTGCAGCGCCTCTGTGAACACCTTGACCACGCCCTGCTTTATGGGTAAGGGCCTAGAGTTTGCCGTGGTTTCCACTGGAGGAAGCCACGGCCGGAGGCGGGCTTGAATCTGGGCCCTTCCTCCCTTCGTTTAGGGACCCCGCAGCTTTAGGTGAGGGTAGCGTCACTGGGCTCCTTCCTACTGCTTGCAGGCTGGGACTGACTCCGTGGTCAGAACAGAGCACCTCACGGGTGTCTGGAAGCAGGACTGAGTGGCCTGTGATAAAAGAGTTTCCAAAGCCTGATTCTTAAACCCCCTCGGTGGCGTCTCCTTGACCTGCGTGACACAATAAACCATAGTCCTTGGTTGAACTCACTCATGAGCAAGGGTGTTGTGGGAAGCGGGCCCTGCCTCCCCCCCCCCCAAAGGCTGCAGTGGCAGAACTGTAGTGAGTTTGACGAGGGCCTGGAGGTGCTGCTCCCGGGGAGGCAGAGGCCCCCCTTGCAGGCGATGGCTGCCTTTGCTCGGAAGTTCTTTGCAGTTCAGGGACTTTCCTCCTCCTCCTCCTCTGCAGGCTGCAAGACCTTCCCTCGGGCTACTGGGTCTTGGTGGTCCACTTCACCCGCCGAGAAGCCATCGAACAGATCGAGCTGCTGGAGCACGTGACCACTAACCTGGGGCGCAGTAAGTGTCCGTTGCAATGCGATAGCTGCTCTGGCTTTGGCCAACCGGGGGCTCAGCTGGGCACCCGCCCGCTCCTGAGGATCTGGCGGATGCCTTCTCTGCGGTTCGCTTCTTCGTCAGCGAGGCTCCCGAGTTCCACATTCATTCGTTTCCAATTAATTAAAAGGCTCTCGGGGATCAAGCCGGGGCAAGGCTGGTCCTGCTTTGGGCTGAGACCCCGAAGAGCCACCCAGGGGAGTCAGCACGGGACCAGATCGGTTCTGAGGCATCGCCTGGCACCCGCCACCTGCTACCTGGGCTTCGGGCGTCCGAGGTTGCGGCTTCTGCCCCGGACTGACGTTGGGAAGGCCGCAGCAAGGGCAGCTCACGGCAGCCTTTCTGGGGGGGGTCCTGGGGTGGGTCTGCCCCCACCCACAGCAGTTCCTGTAAGGCCTGCTCTCCTGCAGGCCGGGCGTGGCTGTACCTGGCCCTCAACGAGAACTCCCTGGAGAGCTACCTCCGCCTCTTCCAGGAGAACCTGCCGCTGCTGCACAAGTACTACGTCAAGTGAGTCTCCTGGGCGGCTGGGCCCGGCCCCGTGGGAGGCAGAGGTGGGAGCTGAGCGGGAGGAAGGGGACCTCGCCAGCCCCAGCAAGGGGCGTTCGCGGCTTTCCCGTCAAAGTTCCTGTTCCCAAAAGCGGTCACCGGCCCCGCTTAGCACTCTGAAGAATTCAAGGAGGGAACTTTCTGCTTTTCACAGCAGCTCTTCTCGTTCCACCCTTTCCGTTGCCTTTTGATTAAGCGCTTTCCCCAAATCATTAATTTTTTGTGCTTTTTTATGCTGCAAGAAGCTTAAATTCAGACAGCTGGTTCTGAAGGCTGACTTGGGGTTTCAGTGGGGACGTGGGGGTTTCGCATCGCAGCACAGCTTCTGCCTCCAGGGTGTGAGTTGGGCGTCCCTCTGGACTGAGCACCCCTCTTCTCAGGATTTCCCAGCCAGCGGGGTCCCAAGGTGGGTAAGGCAGCTCTGGGTTGCTGCCTTCGCCAGGAGGGGCTTGTGTGGATCCTGAGGTCTGGCTTCTCCACTCCACAGAAATGCCCTTGTCTGCAGCCATGACCACTTGACCCTCTTCCTCACCCTGGTCGCGGGCTTGGAGTTTATCCGATTTGACTTGGATCTGGTGAGCAGAGTCTTCCTCCCTTGAGATGGGCTGTGAACTCCTGAAGCAGCCAGTTTCAGGCTTCCTTCTCCCCGGCTTCCTGGGGCATATTCCGCACCCACGCCCTGGTGCCGAGCTTTCCAGCGGATTTCTCTGTTGTGTACAAAAGCGGTTGTTGCTGCCACATTGATGGGGGTTTTTTTGCTCAACGGATGGGCAAAACTCCTTCCATTTCCTGAAAAAGACAGTGTGCTGGGATGGCGGGGAGTTCCAGTCAGAGGAGCCGCTTGGGGGGTGAGCAGCAGTTCCACCCACAGCTCTCCTGTTTTTCAGGACGCCCCTTACCTGGACTTGGCCCCCTACATGCCGGACTACTACAAGCCCCAGTATCTGCTGGACTTTGAGGACCGCCTCCCCAGCTCAGTCCATGGGTCAGACAGCCTCTCCCTCAACTCCTTCAACTCGGTGACGTCCACCAACCTGGAATGGGATGACAGCGCGATTGCCCCCTCCAGCGAGGGTAAGGGGGCACGGAGGGCAACCGCTCCTGGTAGCGTGGTGGCCAGGAGCCCCGGAGGCTGCTGCAGGGTGGTGTGGGAAGGTCCTGACTCCACAGAGCTGCTGTCCGGGGCTGCTGGGGTTCTGGCCGAGCGAGTGGCCCTGCCCGCCTCCATCCTGCTCTCAGGCAAGGCCAGTGTTGGCCTTGGGAGGAGGGGGTGGCTCTCCTGGGGAGCCTCCAGTTAGGGATGTCTTTGACCGGTGTGCCCCGCCGTCTCACGAGCTCCATCTGCAGCATCTCCGATTCGGAGCCCCTCGGGCAACTGGGGGGGCAGGCGCAGGGGTGCTCCTGTCACCCAGACAGTGGGCAATTATTTTGAAGTACTTCTGCCAGGCTGCCCCATCACATAGCTTGCCAACACAGATCCACGCGATCGGTGCGCTTGTGGTTTTTGACTGTCCTCGTGGGCCGCTCTGCCTGAAGCCTCTGCTTCCCCTGGTGGCAGCCTGCCATGGGGCTGGAGAGAGGGACGGGTCCGCCTGGGCTGGGCCCAAAGTCCGAGGGCCCAAAGGCACGCCGGGTTCTTGGCTCCTAACTGCCCAGGAGGTTTCTGAGCTCCTGTGGCTTCTGCTGGAGGGGGCTCGGGTCTGGCCTCCGTGTCGTGTCCGAGTCTTGGACTGCTGGAGTGTCCGTGCCCCTCCCGGCTGCAGTTTGGGAAAACCCTACGCTGGCAAAGGGGCAAACGTAAACAGAAAGCAGGCACAGCCACAAACGCAGAGGCCCCACCGCCAGCCTGTGCCTTCCTGGTGATCAGCCATTTTTTTAAACTTCAAAATAATTAGACCCCTAAGCGGGATCCAGCACTGGCCCCCAGCCCTGCAGCCTGAGCTGAGAGAGGGTCCCCACTCTGCCACCATCCTGCTCTCCTCCACCCGACAATCACAGTCGTAGAGAGGGGATTCCGTGTCTCCGCCCTCCCCCTCCCCATTTCCGTCATATTCCTTCATTTCTAATCCTCCTTTTTATCCCTCATTTTATAGATTATGATTTTGGAGAAGTCTTTCCTGCAGTGCCGTCCATGCCCACCACAGCATGGGAAGGTGGGACCAGCTCGCCTGGTTTTCCAGTTGCCCCCCCCCCGCCCCAGAGCTTCCTGCATGCTGGGCTGTGGGTCTCTCACGCTGGCTGGCGCTGAAGGCCCAGCAGCCAGGCCATGCGGCTCTTCGGGTTGCAGGCTCTTGCGAGGCCGATCAGCGAGCGGGTGGGCAGCGCAGCAGCCCAGGGAATCCGCTCTCCCACTCCCGCGGCCTCAGTCCTCCCCCGTGGTTCCCCAGGCCCTTCTGGATGCCTAACCCGCTCAAGTTCTGCGGCTTCCCCTCTCTCAGCATGAAGCACCGGTCTTTCTGGTTTGCACATTAACAAGCTTCCACGGAGCGCTTCTGTGCTGGTGCCAGCAATCCTCCTCCTAACCCCTTTCTCTATCCTGTCAGCGCCTGGGGACAAGCCGCCGCTCTGCCGGGTTTCGTAGCCACAGATGCTTTTCCCACACCCCTCTTTCCCAGCAGGGTCACACTAGTGATGGCGGCAGCTGTTCTTGCTGCAGCTCTTCCTCTGCCCTTGCCTCCCTCAGCCTTCGCCCTGCCGTGCCCCTGAAGAGGGCGGGAGGGCTGGCGGGTGAGTGGGCGGGCAGCCGGGCTCTTGGCTCCTAGTCCAGCTGCCGTTCGTTTCATTTTAAATAAGTTTCTGCTCTCTCTGCCCGCAGGGAAACTTGGAGAGCAACAACGGGATGAAATAGGTGGAAATTTAAATGGGTTGGGTTGTGTCACCTCCTGCAATTTGTTGTGGACTGCAGGGTCTCATGGTGGAGGGAGATAATTTTGTAATGGAATGGTTGAAGGGTTAGCAGACCGTGCCTCCTGACCTCCCTGGATGCTCCCCAACTTGTAAAACTGCCCGGCGTGCACGGTCACTTTCCGGTCTTCCTTCTGCTGAAGGGGGCTGCTTCTGAGGCGGGCCACGTCCTGCCGTTCTGCAGCGCCACATCAGGGGCTCTGTGGGTTCAGCAGAGATGGGGAACCCCTGATGCGTCTGGGCTGGGGACGTCCTACTCTTCTTTTTACGCGGCACATGGAACAGAGCCCTGAGATGAGTCTGTGCCACAGAGTTTGAAATCGGTATAGGATTCCCAGCCCAGTGACAGTTAAGTTGTAGATCTGTGCAGGCTGCAAGGATCGTAAGAACTCTGCGGACTCAAGGAGCTGGGATCTAGTCTTCCTCCTTCCCTGCCAGCCGTGAATGTCCCTGAATTTGTTGAACGAGTGTGCGAAAGACACCACAGAGCTGCACGTTGGGCACATCTTCTGACTGGGGACGTCGCTGCTCGTGCCTGGGAAATCACTAGCTCTCCTGCTTCTCTCCTTCCAGAAGGAGACCTGACCGACACCCTCAGCTGTCCACGTTCCGTGGCCTCCGAGTTGAACAGCAGCCGAGCTTCAGCCAAGAGCCCAACCCAGCGCTACAACCCTTTCAATGGGAAGGCAGAAGGGCTGTCCTCCGTGGAGACCACCCCGGTGCACACTGCCTCGCAGGAGAAGGCCGACCTCATCCCAGAGGGCGCAGACCGATCCGAGGGCTGCACAGAGCTGGAGGTCATCAGGTGTGTGCTGGGAAGGAAGGGCTCTCCTAGCTGCTTGGCCCCGATCTGGCTCTTTTCTCTGTCAGTGGCTCTTGTGGACTGCCCCGGTCCTGCTGTGGGGTGGGCCAGGAATTGGCCCACCCTCCTCCTTGCTCGGTAGTCGGCTGCCGTCACTGGGGCCTTTTTGCAGGTTTGCCAGCAACTTAGTTGGGACAAGTTAATGAGTTAGAAATCGTGTCCGTCCCACCTGCCAATAAAGTATTGAGGTATTCAGAAACAGCTTATTGGACCTGGTTGGCAAAGACCCATAGTTGCGTTAGTCCGTGGCAACAGAACCAAGGAGAGGCATCCTTTCCCACAGAAGTCCACGTTGTGGCCAGAGCCAGGGAGGAAGAGAATGTGGTGGAGGATTGGTGGGCAAATTGGGCTCCTACGGGAAGTGCTTTAGAAGGTGAAGGGGAAACGTGGCAGCAAGAAGAGCACCTCCCACCAGTTAGAGCAGGTCTTGGCTCTGCGTTGGGAGGCGTCTCCCTGAGTCTGGGCACCGGTGAGCTCTTCTTCCCGTGGGGGCACTTAAGTGGAGGGCTGAGGCAGTCACGAGAGCCTTCCTGAGGAGGAGATTGGGCTAGATGGCCTCCCAGGCCCCGTCCAGCTTGAAACTCCTGCGTGGGCCCAGAAGACATCTCCTTGACCCTGAGCAGACCTGCCGGGTCTCCAGTGGGCTGCTGCTCTCTGGTGCCTCACAGCCAGGTATTGTCCTGCACTCACTTGGCTCACTCCTCTTCCAGGCTGGCTAAAAAGAAGAAAACGGGCAAGAAGAAGAAAACTAAATCAGAGGAGGCCGCTGCTGCCACCCTCCCTGCTCCTGCTGGGCATCAAGAGGCGGGCAAGGAGGCTGGGCAGCCAGAGTCCACCCCGGAGGCTGACCTTGTGGTCAGCGCTGAGGCACCGGCACTCTGCCAGCTGGGCCTCCGGATCCCCGAGATGAAGGACACTTCGATGGAGCGGGTGGGGCAGCCCCTCAGTAAAGTGATCGACACGCTAGAGGTGGCTGACGGGTGGAGCCACCCCGTGGAGCCCCCCAACCAGTCCTTTCGGACCGACTTGCCAGGGGAGGCCCCCTCAGAGGGGCCGCCCCTGGGCGGCTTTGGTCAGGGGCTTTCAGCCCCCATGGACTTCTACCGCTTTACCGTCGAGAGTCCAAACACTCCTGCAGCAGGTGGTGGCCACCATGACTCTGCAGGGAATGGTCAACCGCCACATGTTCCTGGTGGCCCTGAAGCTCTTGGACAAGAGGAGGAAGGAGGAGAAGGAGAAGGAGAGGAGAAGGCTGCTGGGCCTGCAGTAGCCTCCTTGCCGGGAGAAGAGGTGGAGGTTGCCAGTGTGGGGGCCCTGAGCAGGCTGAAGGAGGACCGGGCGAGCCCTTCCCCAAGCAGTGCCGAGGACTCCGGGGTGGAGGAGGGGCAGGGCAGCCCTTCTGAGGCGGCCCATCCCTCCGAGTTCAGGTGAGGGTCCGCTTCCGCTCCTTAGCCAGGCTTTCACCCTTGAGGAAAAAGGCATCTTTCCTCAGATCTCCCCCCAGACAAGGGGAGAGCGAAACCTCAGCCTGCCTGGGACACCCAGTTGGCAGCAGGTGTCCTGACTCGGCACCGCTGCGGTGGCGCATCCTGCCCGACGTGTCTTGAGAAACTGCCAGGAAGGCTTTTCAGGGCAACGGCGCCTTTAGTTAGACGTCCTACCGCGTCTTCTGCTAATAAGCAGAAACCGGCGATGCAGTATCCGTCCTGCTCCTCCCTTGGAGAAAGCACCCTACGGAGGCGGAGGAAGGCAGGTGGGTTCGTGCCCTCAGGGTCCGACGCCTTCTCTCTGTGCAGGGTGGACAACAACCACCTGCTGCTGCTGATGATCCACGTCTTTCGCGAGAACGAGGAGCAGCTGTTCCGGGTATGTCCGGCTGCCGAGGAGGCAGCCCTGAGCGCGTCCTCCCCACCTCCCCGAGAGGAAAGCCGAGGGCAGGCGGGCCGGCGAGCTTCCGGTCCGAGGAGAAGCTCTCCTCGCGTCCTCTTGCGCGGGGCCGTAACGGAGACCTCTCTCCCGAACAGATGATCCGGGTGAGCACGGGGCACATGGAAGGAAACCTCCAGCTGCTTTACGTGCTGCTGACGGACTGCTACATGTACCTCATCCGCAAAGGTATCCTGTTCGGAAGGTCCTCTTGGTCGCTTTCTGGGCGGGAGACGCCGTAGACTCTGCCTCGTGCAGAATCAGCCCAGAGCAGAGCGGGCGGAAATCTTCTTGGGCTGCGGCTCTTCTTGACTCTAGGGAGCCAGAGGGCCGGGGGGCCCGGCCGTGCAGCTGACTCTGCTGTTCCCGCTTCCTCCCCGCCCCCAGGAGCTGCCGAGAAGCCATACATGGTGGAGGAGGCTGTTTCCTACAATGAGTTGGATTACGTCTCAGTGAGTTGCGGGGGGAGGGAGCAGCTCTCCATGGGGTGGGGGGCTCTTGGGGGCCTCTGCAGACACAAGGGAGCTTCTTCCCCCCAGAGGGCTTCTTCCCAGGGCTGGACCAGCAGCTCTACATCCACAGCCCCCAGGGCTGAGCCCTTCCCGCTTGGAGGCCGAGGGGGCCTCCTGCAAGTAGTCTTTGCTGTCACGGCAGGTGGGCCTAGATCAGCAGACGGTGACCCTGGTCTGCACCAACCGCCGGAAGCAGTTCCTCCTGGACACAGCGGACGCCACCCTGACTGAGTAAGGGCTGGGCGGGCCTCGCCTCCCCCTCGGAACGGCTGCTGGGATGCTGAGGGCGCTGCCGGGAAAATTCATCCTAGCGGCGTTGCTCTTCGTAAGGGGAATCGTTTTCAGAAACGGGTGTGGCCCCCCCCCGGTTGATGTGTGCTCTCGATCTCTCTCTTAGTCCCTGCGCTAAATCCAGCGCCCCCCTTTGCTGGATGTGTAAGGGCCGCTGACGTGGCAGTTGCGCAGGGCCCCTAATTCCCCCCTCCCTCCAGGTTCTTCCTGGCCTCTCTGAAGTCAGCGATGATTAAAGGGTGCCGAGAGCCACCGTACCCCAGTATCCTGACCGACGCCACCATGGAGAAACTCGCCCTGGCCAAATTTGTGGCTCAGGAGTCCAAGCGGGAGGTGCGTCTTTCTCCTGCCCCTTCCTCCCTTTTAGACGAAGAGGAGACCTATGTGCAAAGGCCCCGAGCGGCAGGACCTTTCCCCCGAGGGACGCGCCCACCCTGTGGCCCAGCGAGGGGCTTCTTTAGGGCTCAGAGCCACAGTCTCTCTTCCGCAGCTCAGGCTCCCTGGCGAACCGGGTGACTTTGTCTTTGGCAGATCTCGGAAGTGGTGGTCCACTTCTATGGGCTTATTCACTGGGAAGACCCCATGGACGAGACCCCAGGCCCAGCCTCGTCTCACTATGTGCCGGCTGAGAACGGCATCGCCAAGGAAGGCGTGCTGAATTACAAGGCGGGAACCAATTACCTGGGCAAGGAGATCTGGAAGCCCTGCTTTGTGGTGCTCAGGTGAGGCGGTGGGCGGGGCCGGCTGGAGGGTCTGGAAGAGGGTTGGCTGGGCTCTGGTTCCCTTTTCTTAAAATATGTATAACTTCTGTTGAAGAAGTTTTTGACAAGGTAAAAATCGAAAGGGAAAATAAAGATAATAAAGAAAAATGGTAGACAGCGAAAAAAGAAAATAGAAAACGGAATAGAAATAGAAAGAAAGAAAGAAAAAAAAGGAAAAGATTATAAAGCAGCAGCTTCTGATCTTCTTGCCAGCAGTTATAGATGCATTTATATTTGCCCTCTCTCTCTGACGTTACATCATAATTTCCTTCTTTCCAGAAGGCACCCTTCCTCATTTTGAAACCCATAAATCGCAAGTTCGTTTTTCTCTTTTTTCAGCAAAATGTCCGTAAGGGTTTTTCAGTCACAAATAAATGTAATTGTTGATCTTTCTCTAATCAAACAAATGAATTTGCCATCTCTGCTAGTTCTGTCATTTTCACTAGCCAATCTTCTGTTGTGGGTATTTCAGAGTCTTTCCATTTTTGCACATATGGTAGTCTCACAGCAGTAATCGTATATAAAAATAATCTTTGATGGCTCTTTTCTAATTGGCTATCCATTAACTCCAGCAAGAAAAGTTCTGGATTCAGCTGAATGTTGATCTTTAAAATTCCTTGTATCGTTGTATGTATATTATACGCAGCAGGCTGCAAAATAGTTTCAAATCAGGCAGTCCCAATCGTCCTCATTCTTTTGCATCTTGAAGTATTTTATATTTAATCCTTGGTTTTTTTCCCTTGCCATACAAACTTAGATACATCTTTCCGCCATTGTTTAAGTGGTACCTCAGTTGTCAAAATAGTATTGTTTGAAACAAAAACGTCATCCTGGGCAAAACATTTTTATCACAGAAATTCTCCCCAACAATGACAATATTAATTTTTCCCATCTTAACATGTCCTTCGTAATTTACCTTTACCCCGCTTTGCAGCTTTCTGGTGGTCACCATTCTTCTTTTTTTTTTAAATTTATAATCCAAAAGTTACTTTTGGATGGAGTATGGTTCCTGGTGAAAGCTTTGGATGGGCTCCCGAGGACAGAGAGAGGATCTATTTTCCTATTTATATGTGGCCAGAATCCAAGAGTTCTCAGCAGTCAGAACAAAAGCGTCCTCCTCCTCCTCCTCGAGCTGTAAATAAGCTCTGGACTGGGAGGACTGGGGAGAGCCCCTTTCCCAGCGGTTGTCTCTTTCTTCCCTCTGCAGCAATGGCATCTTGTACCAGTACCCGGACCGGGCAGAGGTCGCCCCGCTGCTTTCGGTGAATATGGGGTGAGTATCAACTGGCACAGGGCTCCCCGGGCCCCCCAGCTCTGGCCCCTCTGCCTCACTTGCCCCGAACTCTGATCCTCGCAGGGGGGAGCAGTGCGGCGGGTGCCGAAGGTCGAGCACGACAGACCGGCCCCACTCTTTCCAGGTCATTTTGACTGACCGGCCTTCCCTGGAGTTGAGCGCTGAAAACGAAGAGGAGATGGCTGACTGGATGCAGTATTTATGCCAGGCAGTCTCCAAAGGGGTAAGCTGCCAGAGGGCATCCCAGGATTGGGGTCGTGGGGGCCAGCGGGGCCCCTGTAGTTCATGTGCTGAAACGCCTCCATACGGGGAGGACCGGAGCTGGGCTCTGCACGGGCCAGTCCTCTTGTCCTCCGAGCTCAGAAGGCGGCTCGGCCCTCCTTCCTACCCAGGTCATCCCCCAGGGTGTGGCCCCTGCGCCGTGCGTCCCCTGCTGCCTGGTGGTAACGGAGCAGAAAGTGTTCACCTGCCACGAGGACTGCCAGACCAGCTTCTTCCGCTCACTGGCCACGGCCGAGCTGGCGGAAGTGGCTTCCATCTCCACGGAGCCCGGCCGGGAATATTGCCTCCTGGTGAGTCTGCGGGGGCGGGGGGCTCATCCAGAGGCTCCCTTGGACTCTCCGAGCAGAGGGGCGCTTGGGCTCAGCCTTGTGAGCGACAGCGAAGGGCCTCAGAGGCTTGGCCCATCCTGCCCCAGGCGGCCCCGAATCCTACCCGGCGTTCTTCCCCCGCTCTTAGGAGTTTGCCCAGGACCAGAAGCAGTACCTGCCCCCATGGATCCTCTATTTCAGCTGCCCTGGAGAACTGGAGCGGTTCCTTCTGGCGTTGGATGCTGTGTGGAAGAGCACCTACCAGGTGGGTTGGTCTTGCGGTGGGTAGCCCGGCTCCTGGGCTGTCCTCCCCTGCAGACAGGGTCCCCTGGGCGGTGCGTCCTCCCCACAGACCAGTCCCCTTCCAGTCCTCCCTCCCCTCATGGCCCCTTTTGCCCTCCTGTGCCGGCAGGTGGATCTCCTGCACAAGCTGATTGAGGACAGCTCCATTAGGAAGAAATGCGAGGATGCGCTGAGCTTGATCCACAGCACTTGGCAGCGCAGTGACAGCCTGTGTCGTGGCCGGGCTTCCCGGGACCCCTGGTGTTAGCCTTCCGGGAGGCGAAGCGCGGCCTCACTCCGCGGGACCGAAGCACGGCATGCACGAGCGGATGGGCCTCCCTGTCCTGGACGCTGAGCGGGGCCACCGGGCAGGGAGGGCCGGGCAGGAGGGGCTCCGCTCACTGCCTCTGCTGTGGACTTTGTGGCACGTCGGTTTGGCTGATGGCCGTGATCCGAGCAGATGTTTGTGTCGTGCATGGCCCTTGCCCACGCTGCCTCTCAGCAGGGACTTCGGGTGCAAGACTGGCCGGTGGGAGCAGGAGTGCTGTGCCCCCCGGGTGGCGGGGCCTCAAGCAGTCTCCAGGAAAAACAGTGAACGAGAGGGGGGGGTGAGGGCGCCAGCAGGGAGGGGCTTCTGCACAAGATGGAGTCACCCGGTCGCCCGATGGCTGCTGCTCGCCTTTCAGACACTAGACCCCAGCCTGTGCCCTGCATGCATTTCCTTCGTTAAAGACCTGCAGCCAGCCGGTCATGTGCCGCTTCCCGCCCTGGAGGAACAGGGATCATCCCCCTGCTTCCCCGTTCGCCCTGATCAGCTTGGGTGCGGCCTGTCACGGCCCATCCGCTCTCCCCGGCTGAGCTCGGAAGGAACCCCGGGCCCTCCCCTCCCCTCTTCTCTTCCTTGCTAGGCCGGTCGGCCGGTGGTGCCCTGCCCCTTGGCAGAAGGCCTCCCTTGGGGGGTTGGGGAGCGTGGGTGTGGATTGGGGCCGTGGGGCCGGGAGGGTGAGTTTCTCCCCCTGCCTGGAGTCGGGGGCCGTGGGTGAATTGCTCGGCCGGCTGCTTCTCTGCCTGAGCCCGGACATGACCGCCTGCCCTCGCTCCTCCGTGACGGGAGCAGAGTCCCGGTCGGCCCCCAGGGGCATGGCGAGGGGCAGGCTGGGCGGAGCAGAACCTCACTGGGGCTTTTCCTGCAGAAACAGACCCCCAGCCGCTGGCGCTGGGTTCTAGTTGCCATTTATCTTCTTGTAAACAGTTGGGCTAGGGGTAGTTGTAGTGGCCTGGGTTTTTTAAAAGCTGTTTCTTATTTTTAGATTCTTAATTTTAACCAGCGAGAGACCTGCTAATGTACCATATGTGTTCCTGCAGGGGCCTTTGTTCCAGGAGAGGCCTCTGTGGCACAGTGTGCCTGGATACGCGTTGCTAACCCCGTCTAATAAAGGCACCTTGGTGATTCCGAGGGTTTCTGCCTGTCTGCCTGCCTGCCCGTCCACCTGCCCACCCACCCGTTTGGTGACACACGATTTCCTCCAGTGCCCAAGGGCTCCCGCTGGCTCGGCCTCCTGGGCCTGGGCCTTGCTTGCCACTGACCACTAGAAATAGGTAGGCGCTTCCCGGGGAGGTCACCGGAAGTGGCTTCCAAAGACCGACATTTTTCAGCCTCTTCCTCCCAGACCTCTCGGTTGAGGGTCAGGTCGTGGCTTCTCAGATCCGGATCTCCCCGGTCTCCGCAAAGATGCCCGAGAGCTGGTTTCTGGGATCTTTAGCTGAGCAGGCCGATGCGCCCGTCGGCTAACCCTTTTGCACAGCCCCAGCTGCGGTCGAGGGAGGGAGTTGCTGAGGCTGGCTTGTGGATTGTTTTCCACAAGGTCCTTGCTGTTTTGGGGGTCCCTCTAAAGTTTGCAGTCGTGGCGTGAGGCCCAGCGGCCCACGAGCACAAGGTGGGAAGCTCCGTGGCACCGACAGGCTTTGAAAAGGGGCTGTCTCTCCCTCCGGCTTGGGGAAGGTTGGGTGCCACAACCTGGCTTTTAGGGTGGGCGTCCCTGGGCTCCCTCTTAATGCCCCGGTGGGCATTTTCCGTAGCCTTGCCCTTCTTTCGTAACACAGTCCTTGCTCGAGGCAGGTTATTTCAAGACGCTGGCCGAGAAGTCCGGCTGTGCTTTTGAGGCCCCGCAGCGGCGGCTCAGCAAGGATTGGCCCCCACACGTGCTCAGGGTCCGTGTGCTGGCCGCGAAGGACGTGCTTGTCCAGGCCAGAAGCACCCCTTGCGCCCCCAGTGACTTTCTGACCCCCAGAACCAGCTCGTACGCGCCCCCCAGGTAGTGTCAGCTCTTAGCAGCAGTGCCTTCTGTTCCGGCCAACGTGAGTTTGAGTCCTGCCCTGCAGGATCGCTGGCCCTTGTGCGATGGAAGGACCATGGGATTGCTTGGTCGTCTGGGGAGAGGGGCTGGAGGCTGGAGGCCCAGAAACAGAGCCCTCTTTCTCTGCCCAGGAAGCGGGGAGCCCCTTCCCATCCGCCGGCAGGTTTGGGAGTACGACCTCTGCAGGGGAGGAGGCCCTAGAGAAGGGGCCGGGCTTTGCCGCTGCAGGTGGCCTCACCGTGTGACCTTTCCCCTACATGCAGCCACTTGCTCCCCTCCCCTCCCCTCGCCTGCCCTGCCCAACCCGCTGCCTGGCAGAGAGGGAAACGAAAGGCTGGCTCTGCCCCCGGTTTCACCCAGCGGGAGGCGTGGCTGTGGCCAGAGCAGAAAGCCAAGGGCTGCCAAAGGCCGAGGCTGGGCAGAGCTCCGTGCTGCTCAGGCTGGGCGCTGGGGGGCATCGATGCCAGTAGCCCCTGCTTGCTAGAGGAGAGGGGCTTGCTCACCTCCCATCAGGGTCGCCCCGGGTTCTGGAGCTCTTGCAAGGCTTCTACCCGGGTGGAACCCACGCCATGGAGCCCTCCTCCGGCCGGGCTGCGGCGGCCTCTCTCTCTCCCCCGGTGGATTTTGTCCTGGGCGCCACGGCGTGCTGCATGGCCTGCGTGTTCACCAACCCGCTGGAGGTGGTGAAGACCCGCCTGCAGCTGCAGGGGGAGCTCCGTTCTCGGGGCTCGTACCATCGCCACTACCGAGGGGTGCTGCAGGCCACGCTGGCCGTCAGCCGGGCCGATGGTCTCCGGGGCCTGCAGAAGGGGCTGGCGGCTGGACTGCTGTACCAGGGGCTGATGAACGGCGTGCGCTTCGGCTTCTACTCCCACGCCGAAGATGTCGGCTTAACCCAGCATCCGGGAGGGACCGTTGCGGCTGGAGCCGTGGCCGGGGCGCTGGGGGCGTTTGTTGGTAGCCCGGCCTACCTGGTAAGCAGCTCAGGGGGGTGGGGGGGCTCCTGGGCAGACCCCTTTGCCTGTTCAGCCATTGTCGCTCCCCTTTGCGGATCGGGGACTGAG